TGGGTCAGCCTTGTTTGCCAAGCCCTGTTCAATAACTTTGGCTCAGTATAATCAAAAGTATTAACAATGAACGTGATTAGAAACATGAAAGCTTATTTCGTTAAGCAAATAAAAGCCTTTTCGTTGGTAATTCATTGGTATCACATAGTCCCAACGTTATAATGAATGTTGAGACAATTAAGCTACCTATTTTAAGCCAAACTTTGGGCTAAGAATGGCTCAACATTGGACCCAAGGTAAAGCGAATATAAGTTTTATCGTGGCGTCAGGACGACACATTACAAAAGCACCGCACCTCCGCGCGCTGCCGACAGCGCGGCGGTGCCTCCGGCCTCCATCTGTAAAGAGTTCGTTGTTCTGGGGTTCGGCAGAAGGGAACGGGGGAAAATAGTGTACCGGCGGCGGAGGCATGGGGCCTTTTTGGGTTGAGAGTCCGCACGCAAGGAGTGCTCAACCGCCGGGACGCACTGCCGGTACCCCGGGAACTTTGGCCAGCTACGGTTTGCTGGTCCGCGGGGAGGGTGCCGGAGAGGAGAATTGTTTTGATTTTTGACCTACCGCGGAGAGCGGTAGGCAGAAGAGGGGTAGAAGAAAGGGGAGTGTGTCGCGGGAAGTCCGTGTGTAAGAACTCGGGTGTCCGTCGAGAAAAATGAATTCTTCTTACGTGCTCGGGCGATAGCGGATCTATCGGATAATCGCGGATTGCGATTATCGGGATTTTTCACAGAGAACCATGGCTCCCGGTTTCTTTTTTTATAGTATAGTGCCAGTGCGTAGCCGAGTGTATGAAACCCCGGGTTTTTGGTGGACGCCCTCGTGGAGCCGGATGCGGCACCACGAAGATAGGCGGAAGGGATACGGCCACCACTATTGGAATTTTTTAAGGGACTGATGGGACAGCCAGTTCTCGGTAAGTACCGCGAAAGCGGTCTTATTAAGAGAATATCTCGCGCGGGAAGATAGCTGAGCGGGAGTGGTGCGGACACACGGATGCCTCAGGTGGCTACCGACGTCGGAGGGTACACGCCCGAGGAAGAAAATGCTCGTCTCCAACGAGACCTGCTAGAATCGCGAATTGCACCGCAAGGTTATTCGCGGATTCGGTAGGTACGTCGAGGTAGGGACAGGTCTGGGGCAGGCTAGCCACCACGACTCGGAATAGTCGTGAGCCTCCGTTAGGGAACATACTGTACGCGACGGGATTTCTATAGTAAAATCCTCCGTTTATTTAATGGTAATAAACGAAACGGTATTCTACCCGCTGCCTAATCATTTCGCACGCCTATCTACTGACTTCGAAATTCTCTTTCGTAGCCCCCATGTTCCCCTCTACCATTTTCAGTGCGCTGAGGCTGAGCCGCCGGGAAATGTTGAAAACGGCCGTGGTGAGGGATGATGGTGTGGGGAAGCCGCACCTGGCGCCCAACAACTAGATCTTCGGATCTTTTCTTCGATTTTAGCACGTTGGGAGCAGCCACGGAATATTTGTAGGCGACGCCGATGGATGGCATACGTCACAAAGCATATTTATTTTCCTTATATCGACTCTATATTGACAGCTATATTGGTCCAATGTTGAATTTATGATAGAGTTAGTATTTATTTTTCATTAAAAATGCTTTAGTGCATAAAATATGGAAAATTAGAAAAATTGTTACAAAAAAGTATGTATTTATTGAAATACGCGATAATCATGCTGCCAACAAGATCCCAGTCAAAAATTGATATTCAGCCAAATGTTGGCCCTATATTCATAAAACTTGGTCCAAGTTTGACAACCAAGCTTGTCCCTTTGCTGGAATATTAATACCGGCAATAAACGAGCCAATTTTATGTGCTAATATCGGCCCAAAATTTGTTGCCAAACTTAAGCTTGGCTCAATTGAGCCAGATTACTTATAATTTTTGCATTTTACACAATAGGGCCAACATTGTTTACCAGACTACATGTGACATGCAAGGGCGTTAATACACTTCTAGAAAATTTAATCTTCCGTGCTAAGCGTGGAAGTTTGTATTTATTTTTATTTAGGGTAAATTTTTGACTGCTTCCTAAAAACTTCCTATATAGGCCCGGTCCTTTACATGATTGTAGGATGAGAAATTGGTGTTAAATCAAAAAATCTGAAGTTTCCCCTGAACAAATATATTACTGAATATATGTATAAGTACAACCCAATGATGGTGTTGCTGATAATAATTAGAAACCACTTATGAAAATGCCGGAATGTCTTACAAGTTATGTTTATATAAGAAGATATTGCGATGCCGTCTTCGCTCTCAATCTCACACATGCATATTCACACAGTAGACAGTAGACGTCGTCACAGCCTCAATGTTCACACTCTGTCCTTGTCACAGCGGCCGGTCCATTTATCTTTGATAATAACATTTTATCTACACGACAATATTCTTCGCAGCGGAAATCAATGAACTTATAACTATTCTCACATTGACTGATAACGCTACGCATGCAACTATTCGGGCTCGATACGACTTTATCGACTTACGAGTGGCGATATGTAACAAAACGCGGAACTTCCGTGAAAACGATAGCCTCCGCACGATGCAATTGTGAGGAGCTACTCCAGCCCGAACTATGCGTTCTGGTGTGTATCTGAAGACTAATTTGTCATCGCTTTTTCATCATACTTACTGCCGAAAGTTGGTGGATAGACGGGTGCAAATCTCATAATTTCAGCAGTTTTACCCGTACGAGTGAATTCTGGAATTTTTGGTTCACACGTTCTAGGCACGTTCGTGTTGCGATAAGACTGGAAGGTAGCTTCCTCACATAATGCCGCGGTCTGCATTTCCGAGCTTGCATGGTTCCTTTGTTGCATTCCCGTGTCTTATTAATATGCTTCTTTTATTGGCGTATATGGGAGAAAGTTGAGCCAAAAGCACGGCACGTGACATATATGTTATAGCCTATATAGGCTTAATAGTAACGCTAATTATTATATAGTGGCATGGTAATATTAGCATAATACGAGCTAATTTCAGTTGCCAGTATTGGATCAACATTAGTTACTGAACTCGGCCCAAGAATCGCCAATGTTATTTACATAGTTTGGTGGAATAAATTTTGCCAATTTTGGGCCAATATTACCTATAGATGTGAAAAATATATTTATTTATAACAAATTAATTTCTTTCAATTATAACATTCTTTTTTTCTTGGAATGCGCAACAACCCAGAAGAATCTAATTCGCTTCAAATTCAGTCATTTCACACTTTATTCACGATTGCAAATTTGTATTCGAAGTTAGATTGGAGATAGACTTTTATTATGGCGCATAATTTCTCGGGCATAGTTTCAGGTCATTAAAAATAAATTGTGCTCAGTTCTTTGAGTAAATAACCTCGTGCACAGTTACTTGAATGACATACTTACTGGTGCACAATTTGTCGGTTTACAGTTGAGCGGTGCATGGTTGCACTGCATGTCATGAAAATATTCCACGAAACGGAAGTTCCCGGGAAAGTGTAATAAAAATACTTTTCTCGTGTAAAATCGGTATACTGATTCGTGCAGAATATTTTAGTCGTAGGAAACTTATATGTAGAATATATTTGGAGCAAATTTTTGCGTTTCTAATTATTTTATTGTCATATAACATACACCGTAAGTTCAGATTATTTGAAACTTCATAAAAAATGATTATTATACCAATAAATCAAGAATCCAAATAGAACTTAGTAGTTTTTTTGAGTAAAGTTTTTTGATATAAAAAGAATGTGCTCAGTACATAATATTTGGGCAAGAAATACGGGAAATACAATATCGTTGTTGGATACTAAATCTAATAAGAGGAATTGTTATAATAAAATTATGGTCAAAGAGAATATATTAACATACAATTCTTTGTAAAATGTCATGGTCAATGTAAGAAACTGAAAATCTTTGTGAACAATGATGCATACCGTCACTAAATTTAATTCTTAAGACGTGACAAATTTAAAAATATACAGTGAGAGATGTAGAATATTAACACTAATGCTTAATCTTGTTTGATTAAATTTTGCACGTATTACATTATTTCAAGGGATATTTGAATATGTACCTATGTATTTTGTTATAATAAATAGCAATTAAGTATTCGCCCTATGTGATACATATTTAATATCAATAAAAGGATACGTTTCAAAATTACGTAAAAGAGTATAATTGCAACAGAAAAGTCATCCATATTTAATTTAATAACCATAACGAATAAGATTGTAAATGATTAGGTTCTATGAAAGTAGTTACATAAAAATGGTTTCCATATATTCGTAACGAACTGTTTGAAAAAACTACACTTGAGAACTATTTAATGACTGATCGTACGTACATATACATATGTGCGTAATTTAATATGAATACTATAATGAATTACCTTCACTAGTGGGAGTATCAGCAAGTCGTTAAGACAATAAATGATAATTGATCACACTAATAGGCCCTTTAATAGCCCCGCCTTCATTAAAGTACCTGTACACAACATTTATTCATAAGGAATCAATTCATCATAACCAACACTATTGAACTTAAAAAAAAAATCGTGTTCATTTAGGATACATATGCACAGTATGACTGTACAAACACCATAATAATCCATTACGGTTATTAAGCCGGTATTAAAGACTGCTATGCAGAATCTTGCTACCTAATCCAATAACGAGTTAAGGCTTCAACTAAATCACAGAAGGATCCATGATCCGAAAATACTGCTGTATCTCTTGGTAGATATTTCCACTGTGGTATAAGGAATGCCCATGTAATAACAGGCCAATAGCGATGCGGCATCCCCACCATAAAGAGAAAATATTTCCACCATCACAATAAAGTCTAACCAATAAGAGTTTCCGAATATTCGGACCCGCCTACAACCATTTTCAATTAGAGCCAATTAACGAGTCGCCCACCATTAGATCTCAACCAATCAGCTGCTAGCTGGTTCCTAAGGCTGCCGAGGACGCTGGTCATGTTCACCGAGTAGTGTGAAATATCGCGCCCAAGTGTTATAAGCAAGTTCACACGAAAGTACGAAAGTCTATAAGAGTTTCTGCGGCTGTCGCAGTTACTTCCTATAGTATATACCATAACGGCGTGTAATAATTACTTTGTTTAGGCAACTGTTAGTAGTAGTAATAGCAGCAAGTAGCAAACGGTGCTTGATGATTAAATCGTCTCTAATTGATAAATTCATCAGTGATATACCGTATACGTGTAAACTGTCTATACCTGAGAGCGTATCCGATTACCTCGCCAACGTATGCTTAATAGTGATAATATCATTTTGAGAAATTTCACGGATCTTTTTATACTGCCGCCAAGGTGGTGGTGTTATATTTAAGAGTATGCAATCGACTATCGGAAATACAGGCAGTCCTGGACGTACAGCTTGCTGCGATCGTGATCGTGAAAGACGCATTAATGATGATAATGAGAGAAACGATAGAAATTCGAGCAATTCCAATTCGATACAACAATGTAACTCTTCTGCCCAGCCATTATCACTTGCACTTGAGGATAGAGAACTTTGGACCAGGTTTCAGTGCATTACCAACGAGATGATTGTTACAAAAAATGGAAGGTATGTGGGATTGCGTGCATACAATTTTATTATTTTTTTTCTTACCATCCATGTTCATTAACATAATTTTTGGATCATTGCTTCCAATCTTGTTCTATGAATTTTTACATATACCAAAGATATGTTGACTTCCAGTACATAAAGGATCCTTTTCTTGGCAAGGAAGATTATTTTTTTTAGATTCATAAATGCAAATGTCACTGAACGTATAATTTCTTATCCATGAGTATTGACAACCGATCATTATTGAGAGACTACACCAATTGTTCAATTATCAAAATCATTCTACATTCAATATTACGATTCAAAATACTTTGTTATATGGATATGGATAAAATGGATATAGTAATATTGAGTACCAAATATTCTTTACGTGAAATTTTATAAAGAACACTTTTCGTTATTGACATCTTCATTTTTTTTCGGGATTCGGTGACTGAACGTGTCCAAGAAGTTGTAAATTTTTGCATGCAATCTCGGATGTGATATTAAAAAAAATATAATAAATTCTATCTTTTAATGAATCTCTAAATGAATGATAAGCTGCAAAATTAATAGCTTGTAAATTAAATAAATTGAACATTTTTACATTTACAGTTATGTTTGTATAAATCCTATTTACTGATAGTGATGTAACTTGAATCTACTAGTAAAACTGTAACTTAGATATTATATAATTCAAAGTAAATAACAAAAAGATTCAGTGAAAAATGACAATGCGGTTAGCGCAGTGAATATGATAGTTAAAAAGATTATTCTTATATCGTCTTACAAGATTTTGTAATTAATACGTGTAATATATGCTCGAATCTACTTTTTAGTGCATGATTTATTTTCGTACTATTCAGAAGAATTTAAGTAATTGATCTAACTCTTTTACCGATAAAGATAAAATGTATGTTGTATATTACTGTAGATAGTTATATTTGTCATAAAAAAAAAAATTAATAATCTTGCAAGGAAAATACCAGAGATGTACCCCCCCCCCATTTTCATGAAACTTGGTAGGTAAATAGATTACTTAGAGATGGCGGTCCATATTCGGGTTTAAATGGGTCAGATATGTGAAATACAAAACAATGTTTATAAGCATGTTTGTAAAGACTCAAAATGTGGAGAATCACATTCTGAATCCAAATATACATATGATAAACCACCCTGTTACATCATTTACCGCTGTAACTAGTGGATAAGCCATGTATCAAAATGATGAGAATTAAATTGGCATGCAAAATGAGATATTAATCTTTTACTGCAGTAGAATATTTAACATATTTATTTTACAATGTAAAATAGACAAAAGTTGAAAGGTAGGTTATTACATTTCTCGTATACAAAGTATAACGTAATAACAACATATACTGTCGTCGAAATGTTTCCGGACAAGGACTACAACTGCACTAATTTTTTTTTGCACCAGTCTTTCTCGAACAATATCCGATTAAATCATGTTTACGACTTGTCTATAGGAAAACGTTTATCCCCCTCCCCCGCCTGCGTTATGTTGCCAAAAAAAACTAAAAGAGATGCTAACACTCTCTTTTGGAGAACAAGCTCTAATAAAGACAAAGCATGCAGTGAAGGGCTTGAGTCATTTTCAAAGCAGAGTAATAATGTCCAAAATGAATAGAAAGCTTACTGCATCGGAAATCCAAACGTGGTTCAAAGAAACTCATAAGAAACATATATCATTAACCATTGCCAAGGATCGCTTGCACAGAGCTGACTTTGGAACAGAATTTTTACTAAGAAACCAATTTTACGATTAAATAGGAAGAGGAAACTTCATTGGGCTCAAATGCTGAATCATTGACGATTAGAAACGAATTTTATAAACTGACGTTTTACTTCCATATTTCCCAATTTAAAAATCCCTTGTCCACAAACTTTTCGACGGCAGCGTATATGTGTGTACATAAGATTTGTTTTATGGCTCAAATAACTAGATACAATAATAATATTGTGTGAAGAAATGTTGAAAACACAAAGACTTCCGACACTAAGCACATGTAATTATCGCTGGGGCACCGCATATGACACATTCATGTTCCTTGTATGTACAGATGTACAGCCAATGTTCAACCAATATACAATTCTAAATTAAATCTACTTCGATCGAATTTCAAATTTCTTCAAATTTCCTCTTTACATGATTTTATAGTTCACTCTTTGGATAAGACTGGTTTTACTCGTAAATTTGGTTATTTTCTATCATACAATTCTATACTTATTTTGAAATTTGTTAACCAATGATAAGATGCTTCAAAAGTAAATAAATCGACTTTGTGACTAGCTTGAAGGGCCCATCGACAAACATATGTCACATGGATCATTACTTTTTTGTCATGAACCCCAATAAACTTTTGTAAAGTACGTTCCGAGATTCGCTACAATTTATCTATATAATATCCACCTGCAGTTACTTGTTTCTCCTATCTTTTTAAATATTTTAAAGAGGCATCTTTTTTTATATCTGTGTTTGACTGTTGCCGTACTTAATTTTTTCCTTTTACCGCTTTTCCAGTAGTCAGCTGCAGTTTTTAGGCACGACCGCGGTACGCAAGTGCCTTATAGTTTCTATCGCGAAAAATGTGTGATATGCGATATCTCACGCAATTTTTGGCCGATCGGGCTGAAATTTTGGGGGAGGTCTCCTCTCGTACAAACTAAAAAATTATTTTTTTTATCCCGATCCTCTACGTCGTTTCAAAATGGGAGCACAATTTGATCGATTTTACGATTTTTTCGTGTATTATTTAATAACAATGTTCATGTTACACGATTATCTCTGAGAGACTTCAGTCAATCGGGCTAAAATTTTTTGTGGGGACTCCTCTCATCACTAGAACCTTATGGTTCTATTTTGAGCTTGATCCTGTACATATACGCAGAATACGGTCACCTCCAAAAATCGCTAAAAAAGGTTTTTTGTCTGTAACTCGAATTCTAAGTATTCTACAAAAAAATTTTAAATGGAAAAGTTGTAGATCTTTCAAAAATACAACCTTTTCCTGTTGACATCAAATCATGAAAATGCTTTCTACTCAAGTTAGCAGCCCAAAATCGGGTTTTTACAGCAATAAAAACGCTTTTTAGGCTGTATATTGAAATCTAAGCATTCTACAAAAAAAAGTTAAATGGAAAAGTTGTAGATTTTTGAAATATACAAAGCGCGAACGACGGTGGGCTGGTGAGCGCAAAGCGCGAACGTCAGCGGTTGTGCCTTTCCACTGCGGCCGGAAGGCCGCGTGTGGCGCGCTAGTTTTATATGCAAAATCCATCGGTTCGTCTTCGAAGGGACATGTTGATGCCTTTGTTGCCCAAGTTAGCAGCCCAAAATCGGGTTTTTACAGCAATAAAAACGCTTTTTAGGCTGTATATTGAAATCTAAGCATTCTACAAAAAAAAGTTAAATGGAAAAGTTGTAGATTTTTGAAATATACAAAGCGCGAACGACGGTGGGCTGGTGAGCGCAAAGCGCGAACGTCAGCGGTTGTGCCTTTCCACTGCGGCCGGAAGGCCGCGTGTGGCGCGCTAGTTTTATATGCAAAATCCATCGGTTCGTCTTCGAAGGGACATGTTGATGCCTTTGTTGCTGAATATATTGCTGATGTATTCTCGTCCTGACATTCCCATTTATTATCGCCAACTGTGTGGGTTTCGAGTGTAATCTGTGACGTTATTTTTACGTCACAAAAAATTCCGTATTTGTAACTTCCGTTTTTCGACTTCGGGACGTATTTACGTCCCTTTACCAATAAAATAACACGCAACCGACAGGGAACTCCAGGGTAGTAGACTAAGTATCGGGCACTAGGCTAGTACCAAATTGTACAAATATTTCATACGTTACGACCAGACACACGTACTGAACCATTTGAATAACCAGTCACTGCCAAACGAGGATAAGCCGATCTTACGCCAAGGAACGTGGAGAGCTGCCGTGCCAACCTGACGACTCCACCCTATGTTCGATCCTACCCAAAAAGTAGTAAGGAAGGTTGCCCAAAAGAACAGCGCCGAGGGCTTCACCTCACTTTAGTTTTGTACCACCGGTATTGACAGTCCATATTATTTGGACTAGTACCGAAGACGAGGATGTCTCGAGTTTTGCGAGGCTGTTCATGCTGGAAGATCAGCGGGCCCCAGAGTGGAGGCACCGTAACTGGTTTGCCGCAGGAGGCAAAATTGACGAAACCTACCGAAGACATCAGGATCCCAGCCACTAACGTCAAGGATAGGGCTGAAATCTCACCGCTACCAGAGACCACTGGACACCCCGAGCTACGGCAGCGAGACTGTGAGGATGTTTCGTGTGACTTATAGACTACGACCATAGAGTCAAATTGTTGTGTTTAGTCCGCATTTGGGAACTTTTATTTTAACACCATCCTTCCGAGTATCGTGTATCGCTGTTTAGTGGAAGGCTCCGGCATCTATCGAATATTTTCGAAGTCCATCTCGTAGGAGTAAGGCGATTAAGGGCTCACATATTCCTGCACGCGCTGAAAACCGAGTAAATTTGAAAAATTATTATAAAGCTTATGTGGTGAAAAAAATTAAACTATTGATTTGACAATTTTTATTAACGATTCAGCTCTAATAAAAACAAATTTAAAAAATTGTTGTTTAATATTAACATTATTTTTTATGGGTATAAATTGACTGCTGATGAAAACTATGGCGCCTCCTTGTCGACATCATAACTTCACCAAAAATTATCCAATCTGCAAAAGTAAAAAAGAATCTTATACAATGTATTAATGTATGTATGTAATGTATGTATAATATATTAATTATAGTTTGACGGAGGGTATTTTTTTTAGAAATAAAGAAGTTACAATATGTTAATCTTTAGAATGCAATTTAAGGAGCTTCGATAGTGTCTTATATTACAATTAATTTCCAACTTTAAAAATGAAATTTGGCATACAGCATGTGAAATATGATACGCGACTTGTATTGAAATTCGTATGAGATTCACCGTCTATAAATTCAGA